GTGACAGCTGTCATATCACCTTGCATTAAAAGCGTCAAAGGTGGTTTACTTACGTGTATTGATTCGTATATTGAAGATAGAAAAAGCAACAGTTTTGTCATATAGTATTCTTATTACAGTGTGTTCGTAAAGTTGTTGTGCACTTTTTTAATCATATTTTTAATATTTCAGATTTCACCCCAATATGGCTTTAACAACTGAATAACGTGTATTTCGAAAAGGTGATAATAATGCCTTTTAATATAAATATAAGTGCATAGTGACTGTCTGAACACCCTGTATGTTTAGATTGACTTCATTTTAACCGTTTCTATCAACATAATAACTTTATTAATGCTTGTTACTTTTTAAAAATAATCTCAGAAAAACTAACGATGACCTGCATTTAATTAGAATTCCATATCAGTTAATACATCCGCACGTGCCTCTATACAGGATATTCCGAAATTTGCTGTGCATTTTTCTAATCATAATTTTTATATTTTAGATTTCACCCCAATATGGTTTTAACAACTGAAGAACGTGTACTTCTCGTCGAAAACGTATATCAGGAAAGGTGCTAAATACACAGATTTGGTTCGACAGGGTACTGAGGTCGTCCATGCACACTGGTTGACTTGAAAGTAGTGATAACATCTTTACGGTATATCAACAACTCATTGGGTTAGTTAAGATTAGAAGAGATTTTTAAGTTTGTATGAATAGAATATGTATTTTTTTATGAAAACAGTTTCTAAATCACGTTTCATTGACGTATTTTTGTTTGATTTATTTTATTTTACGGTATATCGACCAAAATTGGTTATTTAATACAGATAAGATTTTTTAGGATAGGTTCGTATGAATAGAATATATATCCTTTGTAAGAAATCAATTTGCAGATCAGGTTTCATTGACGGATTTTTGGTTTGGTTTATTTTGTTTTACGGTATATATGAACCACAATAGGTTATTTAATATTTAAGTTTTTTTAAGGATATATTCGTATGAATAGAATATGTATTCTTTGCATGAAATCGGTTTCATTGAAGGATTTTTGTAAAGAGCTTTTTTGTTGTGAGTGAAATACATTGCTGGTATTTTTACTATAAAAACCTGCTTTTATACTGTCATAGTCTTTTGACCTCAGTTTGGGTATTGCCTATTTACCCATAGCTGGGACCCTAACAGGGGGTATCATCCCGGGTCAGGCTGGATCTTGGAACATCATCAATTTAGATGTGGTTCCCCGTTCTTGAAATCCTCACGATGCGAGGCCTTGCAAGTGGATGTAGGTTATCGTCAGTTCAAGGCAGTGGTCCTATTTGAGAGTACAACTTCTCGTCAGGAAGAGATTAAATTTGGGGTTTGCTCAGTGATGACGAAATGATACTAGTTTTGTTTTGAATGTATTGAATAACACAAGGCAGTTTCCCTCCATTTGTCTGGACGCTATGTGCGATGGAGTGTTAATTTGTGATAATTTTTCATAATTTTATATTCATTTCTGTGTTAATGTCCCAACTATGTTCATCAAACACAATTTGTGGTGAGATGTGTTTGTGAACAGCCTGATAAGTGGCGTCCAGTAAATTGAGTCCTTCAAAAATCCCTGGTGTTTTAATTTCTTCAATTCCTAACACACAAAATTTGTTTTTATTATCATTATTTATTATTGCTGTTTTTTTCTTTTTTGTTTTTTATTTTGTTATTTTAATCATTTCCCCCAAGAGAGGTAGGGTTACATTGTGTGAAAATGATAGAAAAGACGAGAAGATCGAAGTGAAGAGAGTGAACTGGATTAAGCTGAAACGAACAGATACTACTCTTTGATCTTCGGAAAAAGCCCGAGAAGCGATTGTATTTTTCATTATGCCCACGTCGCTACCAAATGTGACACAGCTTTGAAGTTTAGAGTGGGTTGACCGGCAATACAGTGTGAAAATAGCAGAAGCTACTTTCCCTTTTTGGGTCGCCGGGCAATACATCCAAACCCTCTCGAAGGAGAGGTACTGCCTGGGAGGAAGGCACCCTGGAGCATGGACATAAATTTTTTGCCCTCCCCCACCCCGAAAAGGCTGATAAAATTGATATTTTTTCAGACGTACAGGATAGAACGTTTAAAACCGAGTAAGAAATCGCCAAAAATTTAATTACCATAAATTAAATTAAATGACATCGTCTGCTGAATTTTTTTTTAATTATTATTAAAAGAAATGATAGTATGACTGTGAATTTGCTACTTATTATTATTATTATTATTATTATTGTTTTTGTTGTTTTTTTATTATTATGATCATATGATCTTGGTTGCTGGTAAAAAATATATTCTTATGTCACCAACTGGATTGAAAATATTTTCTTAGTATGTATGTAATATTCATTCACATAATCTTTTGTATTTCAGATAGAAATGTTTATTATTATCATTATTATTATTATTATTATTATTATTATTATTATTTCACATAGTAGCGTACCAACAAATTGACGCTATATTACAAATATACAAAGAATGGCATATTCGTCATGACAAGCAACCTGATGAGTATATAAATGACACATCCAGCACAGCAAAAAGTGAGCGATACGGTTATAGGTTTTGTTAGAAGCAACGCATGTCTTTATAGGTGGGGCCCAGTTATAAATACATTTACGCCAATGAATCCAGTCAGCGCAGACGGTCACTAATTAAGGGCGTTCCTAAGTATCGAGATGTAAGTATCAAATTACCTTGGCTTACGCACACCTACCTTAAAAAATAAATACATCCCCCGACACCTAAACATAATTCTCCCCTACTAATCAGACTGATAAAGAGAGATGCACAATGTATCCGCCCGTTTAGGCTTCTTCTTCTTCTTCTTCTTCTTCTTCTTCTTCTTCTTCGTAGTAGTAGTAGTAGTAGTAGTAGTAGTAGTATTCTATAATCATATATCATATCTTTCGAATGAGACATAAAGTTAATTACGGTTTTACATAATAAGATAATGAGCATATTGAATTGAAGAACATTTTTAGTACGTGTGCAATATTCATTAACATAATCTTTTGTATTTCAGATAAAGATAATTATTATTATTACTATTATTATTATTATCAATATTATTATTATCATTATTATTTCTTGTTTTGCTTTTTGGGATAATCAATTTTTTCAAATCTTTCACGCGAGACGGGGTGTAAATGCAAGCTTTTCTTTGTAAATTACTAAAAGAATTTCTCTGTATAGGACTTGAACTCATTAACACAATCTTTTGTATATCCGATAAAAAGAGATTTCACTGTTTTTTTTTCTTAATGTGACAGTTCGTCTTCTTTTTTCCTGACTCATTCCAGGCGGTGCTACTACGACTACTAATACTGTCACTATTTGCACTCATTGATTTTACATAGGTCTTAACTGGTAGCTCCATATGATAAGTAAATGTTTGAAGAGCATAGCGGTTATCGGCGCTCTAGTGCATTCGGCGGGACGAGTTCAAATTTAACCTACACCCTTTACGGTCTCCTTCGTACAAATACTTTCAGAAAGGCATGAATCCATCTCTTCTCGCCCTCACCTATCGGGGTATTATTAATCTCCAGATTAGGCGTAGGACAATTTCTTGGGGGAACACAAGTAAAACAGGAAGAAACGAACAAATCTTGAAAATTATTATCGAAACAGAAAATAGTTATGTATATGCCCTTCTTTATCAGCCATTATCAAAAACGATCATTGGTAAGTTTAATTTGTTTTTAATCAATACACCCCTAGCAAGGCGATAATGCCACTAAGACACAAGGGGCTAATGACAGTAAAAGAGAATGAGAGGGCTTTTGAAAGAACAGGAAACTTAATCCAGGAAATAATGAATAAGCCACTCTTAATATTTTTTTATCATATACCGGGTGTTACAGCAAAATTGTCCAAATCATGTAACAGCAAAATTGTCCAAATCGTTTTACAGTAAAATTGTCCATCCTACAAAATGTTTAATATCTAACAAACCACTAAACTAATTGAGTTTTTTTTTCCAGGTTTTCAGATAAGAGGTTTAGCCATCTTGTCGTAAGAATTATTGATAAGCCATTTGGGTTAATTGGCTAGAAAGAGAAAAGGTTAAAATCGTTTTCTGCCAGAGTCACCGAGAAATGTTGAGAGGAAAAAAGATCATTAACGCCTTTTTAGTGATGGCACCAACATTAATACTCTTGCTTCCATTCAAGAACCATCAAGAGAACCGTGAATAGGTTTAAAAAAGAAGGAAGAGTTGAGAGGAAAACTAAATCAAGCGTAAGAAGGTTCATCATTTCAACGTAAAGCTAAAGAGATCAATTAGAAAAGATCCAACCCGGTCCATGAGACGTTTGGCACGTGAGAGAGGATTTTCAGCTATACAAAGAGCAGTGAAAAATTGACTTAAATATCAAATCGTACTTGAAACGTATGAGGCAATTTGTTACTCCAGGACAGAAGGTTAGAAGGTTAGACAGGTCGAAAATGATCCTGGAATATATATATATATATATATATATATATATATGAAATTTATTCCAATACTTCATGAACTTCCGATTCACTAATCTATGATTAATGATGAACATATCATTTTCGTTTATGGCCGGTTTCATTACGATTCTTCTGTTAAGCTTGGTGAGTAATTAAACATTCTTATTGTTCAAAATGCAATCCAATAGTGTTATAATAACCTCGAAGTATTCCAGTAAGATATCTTTAATCTTTTCTAAGAGACAAAGTTTCAAATCTTAATCTAAGAAATGAACAATTTTGCTGTTACACGATTTGGACAATTTTGCTGTTACACTCGCTTTGTAAAAAATGTAATCCACAATTGAAATTGAAATATTTTCAAGTTATACTTAAGGTTTGAGAATATTTATAAATTAAAATTAAATACTAATTTTAAATTTAATTGAAATTTCTTTATACTTAAGAATTTATATACGGATATTAGAATAATACCGATCATATAATGGAAGCAGACAGGATACATATGGTGACCTCCCTAAAAAACTTAAGTGTAAAAAAAGGATAAAAGAGGGGAATTGAGTAAATACCTAAAAATAGAACGGGGCACACGGAAGGAGAGGCAAAAGAAAGAAAGAAAAAAAGAAAGAAAGACAGAAAGAAAGGACAAGCCGAAGAAAAAGAAAGAACAAGGAAAAGAAAGAAAAAACAGAAGAAAGAAAGAAAGAAAGGAAAAATTCAAAAGAAAAAGGAAAGAAAGTAAGGACAAGGAAAAGAAAGAAAGAACAAAAGAAAAAAGGAACGAAAGAAAGGACAAGCTAAAGAAAAAGAAAGGACAAGAAAAAGAAAGAATGAAAGGGAAAAAAAGAAAGAAATGACAAACGAAAGAAAAAAGGAAGGGAAAAAGAAAGAACAAGGAAGAAAAAGAAAGGAAAAGGAAATGAAAGAAAGAAAAATTAATATAAACAAAAGAAAAGAAATACATGAAAATATAGAAAGAAAGTATAGGAAGGGAAAAAAGAAAGATAGATAGAATGAAAGAAAGGACAAGCGAAAGAAAGAAAAAATTAGAAAGAAAGAAATTAGAAAAAACGTAAGAAAGAAAAACAAGCGAAAGAAAGAATAAAAAAGGCAAAAGAAAAAAGAAAGAAAAAAGAAAGGAAAATAGAAAGAAAGAACAAGAAATAGAAAGAAAAGGAAAGAAAAAGAAAGAAAAATGAAGAAATACAAAGAAAAGAAAAAATTACAGTGAAAAGAAAGAATCAAAGAAAGAAAGAAAGAAAGAAAGAAAGAAAGAAAGAAAGAAAGAAAGAAAGAAAGAAAAAAAGAAAAAGCGAATAAATGAATGAATGAAAGAAAGGAAGGACAAGCGAAAAAAAAAGAAAGAACAATGAATAGAAAGAAAGAAAGTATAATAGAAACAAAAGAAAAGAAAGAAATGGCAGTGAAAAGAAAGAAAGAAATAATTGGAAGGGGAAAAAAAGGAAGAAGGAAAGAAAGAAACAAACAAACAGAGGAGAAGCAAAATAAAGACAAAAAGAAAAGAAAGGTAAAGAAATAAGGGAAAAAAAAAAAGAAAAAAAGAAAGAAACAAAAAACAGAGGAAAGGCAAAATAAAGACAAAAAAAGAAAGTAAAAAAAAGCCAAAAAACAAAGGAAAGAAAAGGAAAAGAAATGATAATACAAAGGAAAGAAAAGAAAGAAATGAAATGAAAAGAAAGAAAGGATAAGCAAAAGAAAAAAAAGCAAAAGAAAAAAGAAAGTACAAGGAATAGAAAGAAAGGGAAAGGAAAAGAAAGAAAGAAAAGTAAAACAAACAAAAGAAAAGAAATGACAATGAAAAGAAAGAAAGAAAAAAGGACAAGCAAAAGAAAGAAAGGCCAATGAAAAGTAAGAAAGAAAAAACGTAAGAAGGAAAAAGATACGACAAGCAAAAGAAAGAAAAATGAATAAGAAAAATGAAAGAAAGAAAGATATAGGAAAGCAGAAGCAAAAAAAAAAAAGAATAAAGAAAAGAATGAAAGGACCAGGTAAGAAAAAAAAAAAGAAAAACGAAAGATTGAAAGTAAAGCCAAAGAAAGAAAGAAAGAAAGAAAGAAAGAAAGAAAATATATAAAGCAAAAGCAAGAAAATGAAAAGTAAAAGAAAGAAACAAATAAAGCATGACCAAAGGAAAGAAAGAAAGAAAATGAAGCAAAAGAAAAATGGAAAGAAAAAAATGCAAAAAATGAGAAAGAGCGAAAAATACCAATGAAGGTAAATGCAAAAACTTCACCTAAAAATTTTCTAAAATGCCAAAATAAGTTTTTCCAACTTTTCCTTATTTAAGAGTTCTGTTAGAATTCATATTCACAAAAAAAAAGTCTGTTCCTAGTCGATCATAGCGCGTTTCTAGATATAAATACGCAGTTCACAGAATAACTCACTTTCACCCAATAACCATTATCAGAGCACGTGTTATTCCTCTTTGTGTAGGCTCTCTCTCTATATATATATATATGTTAAATCTTTCTGTTTAGCACTTATGTTTTTGTAGTTTATCTATTTTATTTATTTTTCTTTTTACAATTTTCATTTATTTATTGATTATTTATATCTTATTTTTTACACTTAAGTTTTTTAGGGAGGTCACCATATGAAATAAAGTGTATTAGATTTTGGTCAAACAAAGAAAAAAATGCTGAATATCAGTCCTCCGGCGAACGCTAGAAATTTTCTCACGGATGAAGAAAAATCTTGAGTCAACAGAGATGTAGTTTAACAGAAGAATACAGAGAATAACACGGAAAGAAAGAAGCTATTGAAACTGCCAAGACGCTTAATGAAGACTTGACGAAGCTTATACTTACAGGACATATTGAAGACAAAAGGGCAGATGGTAAATGTTGAACTGCTGATGTACTGACAATAACTGCAGATAGAGTCTATCATCCTCGCGATAAAAACAGTGAAGCCCAGGTTGTAGATTTGAACATCCCGAAAACATTCGACAAGGTTTGGTATACAGGTCTTCTCCACAAGCTGAAAGTTACGTGGTCTCTGGACAAATACTTTCCTATCAAATCGTGAAATGAATGTTACCCTGAACGGCTACTCGTCTAGATCCTTTCAAACTAATGCGGGTGTACCCACAAGGCTTCCGTTGGTCATACTTTAATTTTCAATAATGACATTCCCAGCTCTTAAATTGGTATCTATCCTGAGGACTCATGTTTCGATAATAAGTCTGATCAGTTCAATAATACCAAAATGGCAGACGGTATCCACAAAGGACTTCAAGTCTGTCGTTAACTGGGGCAAAAGATGGCTTGTTAATTTTAAATGAATGACACCTCTCTGACTGATCTAACCTCCAGAAAATTAACTCATTGTGCCTTTAAGGGCTAATGTTCTCTGCTGATATGAAGTGGAAAGACTATATTGAATCCATTGCTTTGTCAGTTGCTAAGAAAGTGAGTTCACTGTACGGTACGAGATAATTTTTCTCTCCAGAATCTATTTTACATATATCTATGTCTACCATTGGTCCATGCTTAGAATATTGTTTCCACATATTTTCCGGTGCCTCTGCTATTTACCTTGAGCTCATTGATGAAATTTTAAGAAGAACCAGCAATATAATCGGTCCGGATCTCATCTTCAGCTTCAGTCACTTTTCCACCGCCCCGGGTTGCTCTATGTGTCTTTTCTATAAATACTCTCATAGTTATTGTTCGAATACACTCTTCGCAGTGGTAACTAGACATTTTGAATTTAAGCGCAGTACTTGACTGGCGTCGAGATCTCACCATTTTACAGTCGAATGGCTAGATGTAACAGTAAATTATATTTTTAACAGTTTCTTCTCTTGCACTTCTTGCTTGTAGAACTTCCTTCCTTCCGGCTCTATTCTTTCTTGCCAACTTTAATCTGCAAAAATTTACATGCAATGTTAGTCGCTCTCTACTGTCCACTTGATACCCTTTTCTCTTCCCGCTCATTATTAACGTTTCTGTTGCTAATTCTACCACACGTAATAAACATTTGTGTTTTAGTGGCTTTATTGCCTTGCATGGTGTGAAACCGATAAAAAAAACAATCTGGCTAGCGGAACTGTAAATCGATGTCGTAACAAGAAGTGCTTGGCTGGTCTAATAAATGGATAGATATTGATTAGCGCTACAGAGAACAGGAAGTTGTGGAGAGCTACGATTATTTACTTACTAAAAGAACATGGCAACTAAAGATAGCTAGTGGAATTTTGTACAATAATTAGGATAGATCTTTGTAGATATAAACATAGAAATCAATGAAAAGACACTGCAATAAAAAAAAAACTATTTGTTGAAACTTGACTAATGCATGGACTAATAATGCAACACAAAATGTACTTAGAACAAAATGTATTGAAACAAGAAAGTGTACACAATATTTACATATAGTCTTTTGTATATTCCTGGTAAGACCGTTCCTGGAGAATGTGTCGACTGAGTCGTAGTCGGGCAGAGTCTCTGGTTGAATCTCTTGATTCCTGTATTTATCTATCCACCCACGAGGATAAAATGTGGCACAAGGCAGGTTTAAAGTGGGTATCTCCGAGCCCGTAGGCTCAGCCAAAAATATGGCCTTTCTGAACCCGCCTAGACGGGTTCAAGACCTGTCTACCACCCCGGACGAAACCCTGCCTCCCGGCAAAGCCTCGCTCGGGTCCCTCACTGCAAAATGCAGAGAGTTCGACTGAGAGTGAATCTCTTGATTCCTCCCACTCTTCCCGGTACCAACCATATTTATATGGTCGGTACTCCACTATGCAAATTAGGTGGATCCTACCACAACACTATTGTTTCTTGATGTGGCGATAGGTAGTTTAGAAAAGATTAAAAGGGCGAATGTTTTGCCCGGACATAGTGTAAGGCCAACAATCATCTGGACTTTTCTTATTGAGCAAGCCATCATTTAGTGCTCATCTGACACTGATTTGTTTGTTTTTTTTTTTTCTGTGATCTTTAACCTGTACAAGGCATGAAAGCCTCTGGTGGCAGAGGGCTACAGAGTAAGACGCACAGTTTATGCGGATACGTGTGTCAGATATCGGTTAATCCTAGACTTGAACAAGTTAAGATTGCAGGGATCAAGGAAAAACGTTCTTGGGAGTCACGAGAAGGTGTTGGACTGAAACTTACATGACGCAAACGGAAGACGAATGGCATGATGGGGTTTCGCAACAATGTGCCTAGCATAGCGGGTCTTAGCCATGAACATTAGAACTTGTGGAACTAAGAAATCTAGTTCAGCTGAGCACTTTCCATGAAAATAGCGAGGAAAGTTCCGAAAGTCTTGCGATGTTCCGTGTGTGAGAATGGAGTGGAAAGGAAAAGAAAGAAAGAAAAGTTAATACAAAGAAAGGAAAAGAAAGAAATAATAATGAAAGGAGTGGCAATAATTCGTTACGTGTTTGGACTCAGTCAAGTCTATAAAGCGAAGACTGTGTAGCTCCTGTCAATTTTATGGGGCAGAAAGATCGCCACAAAACGAAATGATATTTTCGTGTGACTCGTTTCGTCATTT